AGGGAAAGAAAAAATAAACAGGTTACATCATTACAAAGCACAATAAGTATATACCATAAGGTATGGAGAAGAGATTAGCTGTGTTAAGGATGTATTTAAATGACAAAAATTTTAAAACGAGTAACACTTGAGGTGGTGAAATAACACTAAACCCTTAATTAACTGAATATATTTAACCAAACAAGCTTCTCTTTGTTTTAAGCCCCTGAACTCTTTCATCACTTGAACACTTTCACTTGGAATCCCAATACCTAAAACAAAATGGCATTGCTCATACGGGGTGTGCGCTGGGTGAATGCAGGCTGTGTGGACACTGCACAGAACATAACGTGAAAACCACTGTACCAAGTGCAAACACTTACGAGGGTCTTCAACACACGTGTCAAATTGTACCAGAGGACAGGAACTGGAGTGAAGATTCCTTAATCATGTTATATTTGAAGATCACCTTCCCAGCTATGATACTTTTCTATTACTAGGCCTTGACAGTCCAGACAGATTATAAAGGAATGTTTCTTGTGGTAAACCCTATGGATTATGTGCATCCTAATCCCCTGGAGAAGTTGTTCAATATGGAGATTGCTGGATCCAACCTCAGACCTACCGAGCACAGATCTCTGGGAGCTTCCCGGAGAGCTGCATCTTAAATGAGCCACCCCAATAAGTTTGATACACTCGCCAGAAACGATTCTAAGATTGGGGAGAATCAGGTAAGTGAAAGCCACTTCAGAGCAATTCATGGAATGCAAACCCAGATCATACCATTAGTGGGCACAGGGGTTATCTCCTTCCAAGGAGTAGTGCATTACAGTTGTGAGAAAGTGCTTTCGCTTACAATTACCTACTAAAGGTGCAGAGACAATTCGTAATCTAACCCTGTGTACTTGAGAAAGACAGGTAAAGAGCAGACCCCACAGAGTCTGTACTTACTACCCTGCAAAGGGGCTGTACAGGTGAAAATTTGAACTTGAACATACATCTACCTAACAATCCTCTGCTTTTTAAAAATATTCAAAGCAGAATATTTTTAAAAAAAATATTCACTTGTAAATAAGATTCCCTTTTATACATTTAAATTATGTGCTCCGAACATAAAATACATTTATGAATGGTTTTCGGGAACGTATCTAACGTGTAAAGCAAAATATAGCTGGCTAAGCATGTTGCATAAATTAAAAGAAGAGGTGGGGTCAGTTGGTTTTATAATTTGGGGGCCGTCCTTAATTTCCACTGATGAAATCAGTAATGCAAATATATCCCATTACTTTCTCTCACCACTGAATAAACTGGTGTGGTCACAGACTATTTTCATAGCCCTACTGGCCAGTGACATCTGGTGAAGGCCCTTGAGTTTGTTCCCTGTGTTCCAACATCTGGATTTTGGAGAGTCGAGTTGGTTAATGAGAATATGCCAAGATATCTGCCCTGGTGATTTTGGCCGTCTCCCCGAGATGCCAGAGGCAACGTGTGGTAAATGAATGCTACCGATGCCTCCTGCCCTTGCGAGTTTTCCTTAGTACTCACGGTGAGCAGTGAGTGCCAAAATTCAACTCAATGCAAGAAATCTTTGTGGGTCTTTTATGTGCCAGGTGTTGTGTTAGAGGTGGGCTTTAGTAGGAGGGCGGTAATGCAAGGGCGGGGGCTGAGGTAGGAGACACAGACATAAATAAAAGCATGTAACTACCCTCAAGAGCTCAGTGCCGGAAGGAGGGAGCACATGACAGAAGGGGACAGGGAATCCTGAGGCCCTTTCTCTTCTAGGTCTTTACTAAAAGGTACACTGAGGCCTGGGAAAGGCAGTTAGCAACAGAAGAGTCATGACTGCCTGTCCTTTTGTACTCCATGTTGAACAGTAGGTAGAATAGAAAATGTTAGGACTATAATGTAATACTTTTTACCCCTTTCCGCAAAATGAAAGCTAGACTTGGCGCTAGTGCTCCTTACTGGGCTCCATCTCTCTACTGAAATCTACCGTCAGGGCCAAGAGGAAACAAGGCTGGGTGATAAACTCATAGGAATGACCCCTCCTTTAAGCTGGCATGAAATCTCCCGAGTCATTATATTCCCCCAAAATGTTGATAACTGCACAGTTACCTTGATGTCAGCACTAAAATTGTTGATTTTCTGCCAGCCTGAGTTTTCCAAATGAAAGTTTGCCCATCTAAGCAGAAGCTCTTCTGGAGATAATTTCATAAGCTCCTCCAAGGTCTCACCGTCTCGAAGTAAAGCAGCCAAGGCTATAAGGAAAAAATCCACAAGCAATATATTCCATGTAACAGTTATTACAAGTTTATTGAGTCTTTTGACACTCTATTAAGTAAGTAAGAGAGGTACTAAAAGTACTGTGACCTAGTGCCTGGTTTTCAGGTACTCACAGTCTAGTAACAAAGATAAATAAAAGTAGATAATTATGATACAGATAGAAACACTGTATTATGAGAATACACAACAAATATATATTATAACATATTCTTTATTATTCTTCACATTCCAAATACCAAATAAGTTCTAGCTTTTAAGTTGAACATTTTCACATTATGTCATATATTTACATAAATTGTTCTCAAATAATATTAAAATCGGAGACTTGGGGGAGTATGTTTAAATTTTTGGAGCCCTTTACTTAACCTTTTGATTAAACGAGTATACAAATCCTAAGGTATTTATATTTAAGCATAACTAACTCTTGAAGTGTTAAACCTATTTTTAAAGGAATAGAATTCAACTTTACATTTTCTATAGCATCTAACATGTAAAGGCTGCTCAATAATTTTTTGTTGTTGAATTGAATGCCTAGAAGAAGCCAAGGGTTTTTTGGATAAATATTCCCAGAGGTAAGAGGTAGAAGCCTGGGTGTCTGTACAGAGCACTGTCTAAATTCAAGCACTGTTTTACGAAGAAGTTGTGTAGTCCTTATGCAATAATTACCTCCCATAAGATCAAAGGAGATTTATATTGAACAAGACGACTGAAACTGCCTGACTTCCAAAGAGGTCTAAGCGATACCTCTGACAGGCAAATTTCATCTTTCATGGACTCTGCTTCATGCCATGTCACTCTGGCACTGAGGGACTTAAGCAAGGGCAGAGGCAACATTCTTACTTGGGCAGAAGCCTCTGCTCGGAAGAGGCCAGCAATTAGAAAAATTTTATGTGTTTAAATATAGGCCCCTTTGAGTGGACTGAAAGTGTAAGTGTAATAAAGTCTTGGATAAATGTGCAAAATAAGACTGTTGACAGGCATTGTGAGACCCTGAAACACTGAGAACCCCCAGTACAGATTCTTCCCCCAAAGTAACTGAGGATTGATATGGTGATTTCCAGAAGAAAATGTGAATATTTGGAGTGATGCTTAATATTTTAAACTTCAAAAGGAGAGGATAATGTAGTACTTCCGAGCACCCCAGGACAATTGTATTGCATATGCTTATATATCCTAGAAGTCTACGATGTGATATCAAAACCTATCCTATAAGAATGATGCTTCTGCTAATTCAGGAAACATGAGACCACCAGGGGCAATTTAGAATAGTTTTGAAGAGGCCTAAATCTATGATAGAATAGAAAAGGTATGGAAAATAATAGGAGATGGTGTGCAGCAGTGGAGCTGAGGGTGGTGATGGGGTGGGGACTGTGTGGTCAGAGCAGAAAAGAATACATATCAAGTTTGGGGACTTTGGGCAAGTTCCTTAAACTCTCTGTGCTTTCGTGCCTGTATTGTACAATGAATTCTAAAGTGCCAGACAAATGTTAATTACTACTAAAGAAGAAAGTTATAATTAGGCTATTTTCCTGAATAACACTATAACATTACCTTATGTTCAATTCTAGTTATCATCTAATCACCTCAATTAAGTGAAAGCATGACAGTCTGCATGACTAGAAAAAAATAACCAATAAACGACTTTCAAAATTATGACTGTGTTCCATTACCTTCATCCCTGGTCAGTTCAATGTCAGCAAACAAACCGATCTTAATGATCTGCCAGAGCAGTCCCAAAACCAGATGAGGTTTCCCAGCCCGCAAATCTTCTGCACCAATGTTCACAACGTGACACCCAATGGCAGAAGCAGAGTTCAGTGCCAAGTTCAAGTTTTCCTGCAAGACAGCCAATTTACAACACTTGCTTCTTGACCTTTCTGGTTTTTTGCAGTCTATTTCTCCCTTCACTGAAAATAACACTCAGCAGGGAAATTATGTCTTAATTTTACCCATACGTGATCCACAGAAAGCAATATCCAGGCTTTGGTGTTAAAAGCATAGCTAGGGACTTCCCTGGTGGTCCAGTGGGTAAGACTCCACGCTCCCAATGTAGGGGGCCCGGGTTTGATCCCTGGTTGGGGAACCAGGCCCCACATGCATGCCACAACTACGAGTCTGCATGCCACAACTAAGAAACCCACGTGCCACAACTAAACATGCCTCAATGAAGTTCCTATGTGCCGCAACTAAGACCTGGTGCCGCCTAAATAAATAAATATTAAAAAAAAAAGCATAGCTAAAACAAATCTAGCCTCATTGTTATTGTCTTTTTCAGATTTACAGGGGAAGTTAACTCGGTATTTTTATTCGGTCCCTTCTTAAGGACACTGACACTAAAGGGAAAGGCTGAGTTACTAGAGTAAGGATATCCATATGGGTTAAGTGTCGTATTTCTAAAAATGCCTAAATGAGAGGTCTATTGAATACACCTGAGAGTTTTAGAAGTTCTCAATCTCCACATCCCGAGATGCTCTTGCCTGAGGGAATTTTGCTGTCTAACAGTCTAATACTCACTAAATGGAAAATAAAAACCCTTTTTTCTTTAAGCATGCTGATTAATTAAGAGCTTAAATGTTTTTGCTTATTTCTGTATGTTTGAACACAAAATGTAATGAAAAGAACACAGGGCTTTGCAGTTAGACCTGGATTTGAACTTTACTTCCAGCAGTAACGGCAGTACAGCTCAGAAGCCTTTCTGAGTCTCAGTTTCTCTTTTCTATGAAATCTGGAAAACAATCCTCAACTCAGACTTGTTATAAGAATTAAATGAGAAGATGAAAAGTGCAGAGCCTTCAGTCTGTAGAACAGGTCCTCAAACAGTAGTTTCACGGAAGGAGGGGAGAATGGTGCATACCTGAATGATGAAGGGTGTAAGTTTCTTCTTGTTGATTGCTCTCTCATCAATTGTATCAGGAACTGAAAGGTTGATCATTTTACTGAAACAAATTTTGCAATGAGTTGACTTATTTTAAAATAATCTTTAATATACACAAATACTGTAAGGCTTATTATAACATGTCTCTCATATAATCTGAAAAAAAATGCAACATATGACTTTTATCATGTTGATCTCAAAAAACTATACATATAAAAATGCAAATAAAAAAGACCAAAGTATTTACAGTGGTTGAGTATTTCTGAGTTGGGCATTAGGGTATACTGTCTTATTTAATTTTTTGTAACTTCCACATTCTTTTAGAAGAATAAATTACCCGGATGTTAAAAAAACTTTATTGAATAAATGCTAAAAACAGATAATATCGCACATTGAAACTGAATCTCTCTTCTAGATTATACAATGCACAATTAAAATGACCATTTATCTACAAAGAGGTAAAATTAGTTGAGCAGGAGATTCTTTCATTCACCAAATACTTATTGAGTGCGTAGATGATGTACCAGGTACTATATTTGGTGCTGGAAATACAGTGATAATACAGAGAGAAAGAAAAGTTATCTTAATTAGGTTAGAATCTGACTTAGGAAGAATCTCATTTGGTAAAATTTGGAGTTAGACTATAACATCTTAGATGTTTATAATACTGCCCTAAAACAAGTTATCCTGCATAGGGAAAACCATGCTTCTTTCCATGCAAAATTCAAATATTAATAGTACCATATGAGTCTCTATATTAAAACATATTGGGAATATCTCTTTACAGCCTATAAGTGGCAAGTAAGGGGATATTTCACATTTTTAAAATCAGCTTTTCAAACAACCAAAATGACCTTATTGAAAGAAAAAAGAATTTTATATATTGTACACTGTCATCAGAAATATACCCACTGCACTGTTCTAAGTGCTCTCTATATAGTCACTTAAAGCTCACAACAGCCCTGTGAGGCAAGTACAATAATATGGGGATCATAATGGATGGATCCTGAAATGCAAAGTGATCAAGTACCTTTTATTTATTTAAAAAAAATTCTTCCCTATTATGGTTTATTACAGGATATTAAATATAGTTCCCTGTGCTATATGGTAGGACCTTATTGTTTATTTTATATATAGTACATTTTATATATAGTGTGTATCTGCTAATGCAAAACTCCTAATTTATCTTTCTCCCCCTTTCCCCTTTGGTAATCATAAGTTTATTTTCTATGTCTGTGAGTCTGCTTCTATTTTGTACATAAGTTCATTTGTATCATTTTTTTTAAGATTCCACATATAAGTGATATCATGTGGTATTTGACTTTCTCTGACTTACTTCACTCAGTATGACAATCTCTAGGTCCATCCATGTTGCTGCAAATGGCATAATTTCATTCTTTTTTATGGCCGAGTAGTATTCCACTGTGTATATGTACCACATCTTCTGTATCCATTCCTCTGTTGATGGACATTTAGGTTGCTTCCATGTCTTGGCTATTGTAAATAGTGCTGCTGTGAACATTGCAGTGCATGTATCTTTTTGACTTACAGTTTTCTCCAGACATATGCCCAGGAGTGGGATTGCTGGATCATATGGCAACTCTATTTTTAGTTTTTTAAGGAACCTCCATAGTATTTTCCATAGTGGCTGTACCAATTTACATTCCCACCAACAGTGTAGGAAGGTTCAAAGGGGTCAGTATCTTGATTGCAGCTATTGAGTGGCAGAGCCTGAATAGGAACCAGGCAGACTGATTATGGAGCATGCTCTTAACCACTGTACGCCACTGCCTCAAAAAAGAGTTGCATTCACTGACAAACTGTTGATAATCTTACATCATTTCTGCCAAGACACTGTTGGGTCTGGGGCAGCAGGAGTGACAAATGCATTTTTCAGAAATAAGTAACTGGAGGGTGAAAAGTGACGAGTGGCCTGTTTTTCTCTTTTGGAACCTATGGTACTTGAGAATAAAGAGATGCTGACATAAAAAGTTCAACTAAGTTGTAATGTTTAGCTTACTCAGTGGTGAGAAGAAATTGGAAGCTGAGAGCTTCTCTAGGAAGAGGTCTCTGGTCTAAATGACTGAGTTTTAGATTTACCTTTGGTGGTACTTTCACGGACAGACCTAGAGATGAAATGGGCAGAACCTAGACAAATTTCAATTCTGGCTATTCCCCAAGATGAATCTGTCAAGCATCCAGAAACAACTATGTCAATTACATGGAAGACTATTTTTGGAAGTCTTACCAAAGCACAATTCCATCACCAACAGCTTTGAACAGGTCATCAGTATTTGGGTTCATTGGTATGACATGTCGGCAATCTGGATCATTTTCCAAAGCTTTGTTTATCCAGTTAACGAAAGCATATTTTTCTTCCTCTAAAATTATGTGGAATAAGAAGACATTAGTTCATACTCTAGGTTAAATATTTGACTCTAAAGCCTGAAATAGTTGTTCAGGAGAGCTGTACGTTAATGTATCACAAGCCTGTTGTTATCCTCTTTGGAAACCCAGACAGACAAGTGAATGCAACACAGTGGCTATTAGGAGCTATAAAATAAACAAAAAGAATAGAGCAGGGTTAACTGATCCTTAGAAGTTAGTTACAAAATTCTTTAGGGCTTCCCTGGTGGTGCAGTGGTTGGGAGTCCGCCTGCCGATGCAGGGGACGCGGGTTCGTGCCCCGGTCTGGGAAGATCCCACATGCCGCGGAGCAGCTGGGCCCGTGAGCCGTGGCCGCTGAGCATGCGCGTCCAGAAGCCTGTGCTCCGCAACGGGAGAGGCCACAACAGTGAGAGGCCCACGTACCGCAAAAATAAATAAATAAAAAAGTTTTTAAAAAAATTCTTTAAAAATTCTATTTATATTACTGTAGGGCTCTGCTGTAATAAAGCCTATCTGTGCACATACTGTATCATGGCTCTTACAAGCTAACAAAGCCATACAGTAAATACCTGTAATGCCTTTATGGGAAGTATTAGTCCCAAGTCCAAATATAGGTCACAATGACTTCGACTGTATTCTTAATTAGGAGGCAATGTGTTTCTAGAGCCCCTCCTTGACATTATAGCAGGCAACCTACTTAGTTCACTGTGTTCACCTAACACATGTGAAACTATTTACCTGAGTAAGAATGCTGCGTTCCTTCACTGGACAGCTCTGAAGTTCCTCCCAGAGCACAGATCCCTTCTTTCCTATTGATTGCTTTGCGGAAGGTTTTGGCAATATCGCTGCTTTTTACCTCTTGGAAAATCTAGTAACGAAAATATGTTGTTGATTCACAATTTTCAATCAGCTACAACCATAAGCATATTTATCTTCTTTTATACTGTGGTAACCTACGTTTTCCCCCATAGGTGATGAGTGTTAAAAGATAAGGCAGGGCTTCCCCGGTGGCGCAGGGGTTGAGAGTCCGCCTGCCGATGCAGGGGACGCGGGTTCGTGCCCCGGTCCGGGAAGATCCCACGTGCCGCGGAGCGGCTGGTCCCGTGAGCCATGGCCGCTGAGCCTGCGCGTCCGGAGCCTGTGCTCCGCAACGGGAGAGGCCACAACAGCGAGAGGCCCACGTATCGAAAAAAAAAAAAAAAAGATAAGGCAAACTAGGCTTGAGTTTCAAAATGCTAAACAAGTACTTCAATACTGCTTCCGAAAATGAAGTGCCAGAAGTCGACTTCACACACGTGTCAAAAACATCAAGTGCCACATGCGCTGAATCCGTTTTAAGCCAAAAACTAGTGTTGTTCAAAGGCACAGGTAAATCTGTTAATTTTCTAGAACAAGGAAGGCTTTGTTCCTTTCCTGGAGAGAGAAGACTGAAGGATTCCCCCTTCTTTAAGCACGACTCATAGTGCAAAGAAAGATGAAAATTTTGGGGACTTCCCTGGTGGCACAGTGGTTAAGAATCCGCCTGCCAATGCAGGGGACACGGGCTTGAGCCCTGCTCTGGGAAGATCCCACATGCCGCAGAGCAACTAAGCCCATGTGCCACAACTACTGAGCCTGCGCTCTAGAGCCCACAAGCCACAACTACTGAGCCCGAGAGCCACAACTACTGAAGCCCGTGTGCCCACAACGAGAGAAGCCACTGCAATGAGAAGCCTGCGCACTGCAACGAAGAGTAGCCCCTGCTCGCTGCATCTAGAGAAAGCCTGTGTGCAGCAACTGAGACCCAAAAAAAAAAAAAAAAAAAAAAAAAAAGAATAAACCCAGAAAAGAGGCTTTTCAGTGATCGAGCTTCTCTTCACAATAAGGCACATGGCTAATGAAATTAACCTGTACATTCTAATTGTACAAAAGCAGGCTGTAACGAAGCAAATTTCATACCCTACGCTAACCGCTTGCCTGAATGACTGGACATTCCAAAGGTCTGCCTATACATGTCTGAAATACTGGAACTTACCTAACCTCCAATTTGTTCCTGAGCTACCAATGTGCATGGCTAAATTAGCCACTGCCAGAAAAACAAGAGCAAGATGTAGCATTTTCATAAAAACTTCTTTAAAAGATGTTTAGAACACAATAGACTTACCGAAAGAAACTTACGGCCCTAATGGAAAAGTTCCTGAGCAAACAGAAGATAACCCAAAGGCCTTTAGCATTACTGACAAGTACATACTCACAAACACACCTCAGGAGGCGTAGCCTATGTTTGAAGGTCATAGAACAGGGTCACCATACTTAGCAGTTCAGGCTGTATCTATGAGAGCAGGCATGAGTAGGAGCTGAAATCCAGCCCATGCTCCCCTAAGCAGGCCTGGTGTCTTGTGCAAGACTGTGGCAGGCAGAAAGAGGAGTGCCTTTTTACATTTGGTCTCTCCAGGAGAGCATCTTTTTGTAATTAATCAACTGAGACAGACTCTTTCTAACTGGTAGGAAAGTTGCTGTAGCCCCATCACAAAGTCATCTTTTCCTGTTACCGTCCTGAATTCCTGGCCTTCCTTGGACTTATAAACCCAATTTTATTTAGGAAAATAGTTAGTAAGCAGCAAGTTTTACAAAGTCAAGCTTACTCAATTTCCATAGCTGTGATTTTGTGCTATACCTGTAATTTCAGAGGTAGACTCAGAATGTGTGTACGCGCGTCTATGTCTGTATATGTATATAGACACGCACACACTGACTACTCTAAATATTACACACAACCAATGAAATCACTCTTCCTCCTCTCTGGCCATTATACTGACTCCTGTTAAGTATCAATAGTGTGGAACTGACTCATGTACTCTGGGTAATTTCAAATTATTAAAATTATTTTTACTCACACTCTGATTCCACCTGTAATTTCATTTAATTTACCTTACCTTCCAAGCCAAGATTAGACAACAAAATGGTTACTTGGGAATGTAGCAATCTTAACGGTGATGCATTTTGTTCCCACAGCTCCCTCTTTGATAACTATACGTATCTGCTCAGTGAAAAAACAATATTTACCATTCTACTTCATTCTGAACTTTATTTCATTTAGTGTAACACTGTGTAGTAAATTAAAATATAAAATGTGTGCTTCTCCTGACTGAGATACCATAAATCACTGGAACGACAAAAATCTCCAAAATGTGATTGCCTCAAAGCTACTACCCTCAGAATGACATATGAAAAGTTATTTTTCTTATCACGACTATTTTTGCCTTAAGGATCATTAGCTTCTAAAAATTATGTTGTTTCCATGATCACTATTTCAGCTGAAAAACTTTGTAAACATCATGGAAAAGAGGAATAATACAAATAATAATAACTTTTAAAGAAGAATGTCTACTTAAACTCTTGATGCTTGGGAATAACATGTTGAATACAAAGTTGCAATTAAATGAGTTAATTTTCAATTGTCTTACAAAAGTTACATGACCTTCCTTTTCTAAATATTTAAAAAAAAATTCTTCCAGCCAGGCTCAAATTTTCAGTTTCATAGTATTTTCCTCTGTTCTTTAGATTTAAAAAAATGCTAAAAGATAAGTGATAGTTGAAGATTTATGTATCTGTTAAATTGATTCACTACGTGAGAATTCGCATTTTATTTTCTACTTTGGTAAAGGAATCACTCGAGTGGATGATAAAGCAATTTGAGTATAAGCCTTGGCTTAACAAGAATCTCTGAAATCAGAGACAGCACCAGGCCAACTACTGTGCTGGAGAGTTGTCAATGAATCTTTTCAAAGCTGCCCGTGGTGATACTAATGAGCTCACTGTTTCATGCTGTTTTCCCTCCATGAGGAGGGACTTGCTTTATCATGTGTGAACAAACTCCTGGTGTACACTGCTCACTCTGGTTCTATATATCTTTTCCAGTCTCTTTTATGAAACGTATATGTTTCTTATTCCTTTCAAAAGTGTCATCACCTTCCTAGATCAGCACTAGTGGCCAAACCAAAGCAATGCAGAGGCACAGGACTTAAGAAGGAAAGATTTTAGAATGAATTGCAAAAAAATACTGACTGGCTTCCAGTGTTTGAGGCTTGTTTCCAACGCAGCAGGTTTGAATTTTTACTTTTTGGGGAATCTGTTGTAGGCCTAAACTTAGTAATAATAGGAAAGGAACACTGCCTTTTTAATAAATAGAAATAACTACCAACAACTAACACCTGTACAGCATTTGCTATATACTGGGTATGGTTCTAAGCACTTTACTTATATGAAGTTACTTAATCCTATGAGGTCGGTAATATTAGCAAAAGTTCTTAAACAGGTCAATAACTTATTACCATTATGTAAGAGCAAGGTTCTCACTGTGAAAATAAGAGTTTAATGCAGATTTCTCTGCTGAAAGAACTTATCACCATACCAGTCTTTTTACAGATGAAGTAAAAAACCCCACTATTGGGATTCCCTGGTGGTGCAGTGGTTGGGAGTCCGCCTGCCGATGCGGGGGACATGGGTTCGTGCCCCGGTCCGGGAGGATCCCACGTGCCGCGGACCGGCTGGGCCCGTGAGCCATGGCCCCTGAGCCTGCGCTCAGCAAGGGGAGAGGCCGCAACAGTGAGAGGCCCGTGTACCGCAAAAAAAAAAATCCCAACAAAACAAACAAACAAACAAACAAAAAACCCCACTATTACCTCGGAAGTATAAAAATCCAGTAATTTAGTTTTGAAATACTTAGAAGAAATAAGATCAGGTAATATATTTAATTTTAACACGTGAAGTTTACATATGATTTGGGGGCTCTTTTCTGCCATATATATATATTCTTCTCCAAAATTGATATCATGCTGTTTGTAGCCTGGTTTGCAATTAACACCTCTTAAGTAGCAATTTAAAATAAAAACCAAAAATCTAACATGCAAGAACATGTTTACTTCTATTTCCTTATGTTAATCCCTGACAGGAATAATATGCTTCCTCTTTCTCAGGTAACTAGGATCTACCCATACTTTGTCCGACAATTTGTAAGATGTTTCATTGATGACAAGGCAGATCGGAGTGGACAGACATTTGGTTGGTTACATACCCATCTTTCTTTCAGTACAGTCATGGTGGTATCATTCTGAAACTTCAGGTGGGTTATTTTACTGTCCTTCAGATTTCAAATTTCTTGAATAGAAGGGAGGTAACCGGAAAAAGCCACTAGTCCCCTGTGTAATGTTGGGCAAGTCACTTCCTTTTTCAGGAACCCAGGCTTTTTTTTTTAATTTGAAAAATGAAGGAGTATAAACATATTGATTTCTTCCAATTCTAAAATATACATTTTAACCAACAAGGTCCTCATTAGTATTTTATTTTTTAAAAAAAAATCCCTGGTGATGCCAAAATTATTATGCCTGTTATTCACTTTTTAAGAAAATACTAGGGTAATCACAGCCTTCACTTAAAAGCCAAAAACAGCTGTGTGGAATCAGCAACGTTTCAAAATATACAAAATTAAAGATTTCCCTAAGATGATTTTTCTCAAAGACAATTTCATAACTGTGTCCTTAAAAATACTGGCACACTTCAAATCTTGATTATTTAAGTCTGTTCTTTCTAGTAGATTAAAAAATTCTGAGCAGAAAATTATATCAAAACTAAGTGATCACAGTTATCTACTGCTCTAAGCTGCTTTAAACTCACAATTAAACAGGCAGTTACAAGGGAGGCAAGTTATAAATCAGAGGACATGCAAGCGCTCATACTGCAAGTCAATTGCAACTTACTATTGAACATAGGATTCGAAACAAAAGGCTTTGGCAATAACTGGAGACAAAAAATGGTGGGGAGGAGATCAGTATTTCAAAAGGAGATGGCAAGAACTATAGCATTATAGTTATGAAATATGTCTGCATTGTTACGAAAAGTAACACTCCCCTCCTCCCAGCCACGCCCTGCCCCGCCCCACCCCCAGGCAAATGCTATCAGTTGAGTAGACACCACTACTTAGTCAATTTGCTTCTGGAACTCTCAAGGTGTTCTAAAGGGGTTAATTCTAATTGGAAAAAACATATCAGAATTTCACCTCCTTTACTGAGCTATGGTTACTGATGGGAGTATATGTTATCATTTCAGGTGTCTTGGGGCAAAAACAAACGTGGAAAAGGATAGGAGTGCTAGAAAGTTTGTGATAAGTATTAGGCACTAATTGCCCATCTGCAATATATGTAAGGAATGCCAAATTCGATCTAGTCAAACTCAGCCTTAAATGAATAATAAATAAAAACAATAAAATCTTAAGTGTCCTTAACTGAGGGGAGAGGCAACAGCTATTCTTTAATATATATCTCAAATACTTTGTTAATGAATATGGATGGAAAATGCCATATGTCTAGAAAAATCTTGACCCTGCTAGCTAGCAGCTAAAAGCATTAGGCTTTAATAGTGAGTACCACACATACACTCTCTACGCACTGAGTATGGAACACTAGGGGCTTGGGGGTAGAAGAATTAAGAAATCAGCCCCTAACCTTGAAGAGTATTTGATGATACTAGAGAAGAAAACAAGAATTTTAAGTGCCTCTTCCAATGGACCGAAAAGATGAGCTTCTAACTTTTAATTATCAAAATCACCATCCTAGGGAAAACGGTACAGTTAAATACCACTACCACAAGAGTAGCAAACATCTTTTTAATCAGCAAGTTCAACTCAGGAAGCATCCAAGACTGTGAGTCAGGGTGTATCGTTAAAATTTGGGAGTACACTGTTCCCGATAGAAAAAGCACTTGGAGGATGTCATTTCACACCTTGAAAAATGCCCTTTAATGATGCCCCCAAAGGAGACTGTTCACCTTACACAGTGAGCAGAGCGTTATATCTTTGATTCTGTCAGTGTTCTTTTCTTGATTCTTTTGTTAAGATATTCTAATGGCTAAAAGAATGAACTAAATGTAGTGGGTGGGATGAGAGAAATTTTATTAGTTATAACAGTACTACTATGATATATTTAGGAACTTAATAGGACTTACTACTAAAAGACCCCACAAGACAAAGGAGCAATCATCACTTCTAATAATGGTAGGTTTTCACATACTTACATAAACAAATTCGTCAAAACTTATCTTCCCATCTTTATTCCTGTCACCATCCAGCATGAGTTTTTGAATAATTTCTCTCACTTTATATCCCGGTAATGGCATATTAGCTTCCTTGAAAAGCTCATGAAGTTCATAGTCACAGATGAATCCATTGCTGTTGAGATCTTTGTAAAAAGGGAGACCAAGCAAAAATGGAAACAAATTAACCTATTAGAGTGTTTTTCTTCATTTTAGGCTCAGTTCATAAGCTCACCTAAATACAATGTTTTTCTTTCTTATTGTTTGGTACCTAAGGCTGTTTGAAAGGGAAATGCAAATTTTAACTGAAAGGGCATGGTTTACATCATGTTTTTAATGTTTTAAACAGTGTATAAGTAGCTTTACTTAAAAATAGCATCCCTAATTTTAAGAAAGCATAGTTGTTGAATAAAATTATTATTAAATCATAAAGCTGACAGGACTTTAAAAATTAAACAATTAATATATTATACACCAATAAAACACTGCCATGGTATAAAACAATTTCTACTGTAGCTATTTAGAAGTTTTATGCCCCTTATTCTCCCCTTAGTCTAATAGAACAGTTTATGAATTAATGCTGATTATATTACATAGTACATCTGAAATTACAATACCATCTTCAGTGCCAATTTTTTCAAGAGTTAATGTAAATAAACGTTTAGCCAAAACAAATATAGAGTTCATAAAAATAAATGCAGTCATGAGTAATGCAAATGTATAAATAACTTTAAAATTTTTGTGCTTTCATAACAACACTGTATCTAAGTGTTAATGAGCTTTATTCTGAAACTGTTAAAAATGGGGGAAAAAAACTGATCAATGACGAAAAGTTAATTTATTGGAAAAGAGGGCTAATGTCCTGAGGGTTATAATCACTTGGGTATATTTTTTAGTAAAGAAAGTTGGACTTTCAACAGCAATTTCAAATACTTATTGTTCAAAAATGCTTTTTATTCCTTAGGTCCTCCACTGATTTTCATATATAAATTTAATTATAATAAAGGGAAGCAATCTGAATAGAGGAATGACTCAAGATGAACACAACACCATTCAAGAAAATGTACTATGAAGTTAATCTATTTGATATATTACTGCTTAAAAACTGTACCAGATACTGTTCCTGGGATTGGGAATACTGCAATCAATGAAAGAAAGTCTTGCTGTACAAAAGCTCACATTCTAATGACAACTAATAAGCAAATAACATATAACATAAGGTATGATTATAAACATAATGTAATATGGCGTAAGTGCTATGAAGAAAAATAAAGAGGGGTTAGGGGTTAGACTAGGGGCTATTTTGCCCCCCAGGGAATCTTCAGAAATGTCTGGAGACATTTTTGATTAGCACACACAGCTGGGGGTGGGGAAGATGCTCCTCGCATCCAGTACATAGATGCCAGGGATGCTGCTAAATATCCTACGATGCATATGACCCTCCTTCCACAGAATTGTGTGGCCCAATATGTCAACGTTGAAGTTGAGGAACCCTGCGTTATAGTGACAGGTGGGGATGTGGGTGGTGGTGGGGGTGCTATTTAGATAGGATGCTCAAGGACAGCCACTTGGATGAGGTTAGATTTGAATGAAGACTTAAGTGAGGAAAGAAAGCACATCATATGGCTATGGGGGGGGGATTTTAGGTAGAGGAAACAGCAAACGCCAAGTCTCTGATGTGGAAGAGTGTCTGGTGTGTTTTGGGGACACAGCAAAGATCCAGTACAACTTCAGCAGAGTGAGCAAAGGAGAAAATGAGAGATGAGGTCAGGGAACTGATCATAAAAGCTCTTATTAAAATAGTAAATCCCCTGTAAGAAACCAATACATTGAAAGCTGATGATATTGTTACGTTTACTTTTAATGAAGTATATGATGTTAGAGTCAAATATTCTTAAACATAGATTACCATATTTTTAGTCTATCAATTAAAATATCTATACTTTTAAAGCATCATCACCAAACGACCCAACACTTCCGAAAACCACTAATATTTCCTTTGAGGTAGAGCACTTGATTCCCCTAGGGCACATCTTCAAGTTTTTTTGCTTTGAACTTATAAAAGGCCATACATCAAACACTTGATTAGTAAAGTGTTTATATGCAGAAATCAATCCAGCAACAACATCTGCAGCTGCTAAAAAGAACAAAGTAATCCACGTGGCACTGTGGCAGGATTTTAGCAATTTTTGATGAGTGAAATTCGTGGGTTTCAATACACCTTCTCCTATGCATATACCAGTCTATTTCTCCCATTTTCTTTAAAAAGTTAAAAGAGAGCTCAGTACTAGAGAGTTAAGTGTGACAAAGTGAAAGAAACACAGCATAGATGAAGGGACACAACAAGAGAGAATAACAGGACACCAGATCTAATTTCATCTTGGCTACTAATTTGCCCAAGTCATCTCTCCAGATCTTAGTTTTCTCATCTGTAAAAGGAGGGCTTTAGATCAAATGATCTCTAACATCCCCTTTTAGCTCAAAAAACTGGAGATAGGGCTTCCCTGGTGGCGCAGTGGTTGAGAGTCCACCTGCCGATGCAGGGGACACGGGTTTGTGCCTCGGTCTGGGAAGATCCCACATGCCGCGGAGTGGCTGGGCAGGGGAGCCATGGCCGCTGAGCCTGAGCGTCCGGAGCCTGTGCTCCGCAATGGGAGAGGCCACAACAGTGAGAGACCCACGTATGGCCAAAAAAAAAAAAAAAACAACTGGAGATAAAAACCATCATACACAGGAAAAACAAATATAGAGTAATAACATTCTGATCACTACTATACCTCAGTATCTAAATACTATATTCCTTCATTTTATGATATCTTTAGAGAAGGAGATAGCTTATTCCTTGCAACTATCAAAACTCTTTCCAAGAGACCTTCAAGATGGCAGAAGAGTAAGCCATGGAGATCACCTTCCTCCCCACAAATACATCAGAAATACACCTACATGTGGAACAACGCCTACAGAACACCTACTGAACGCTGGCAGAAGCCCTCAGACCTCCCCAAAGCAAGAAACTCCCCACGTACCTGGGTAGGGCAAAAGAAAAAAGAAAAAACAGAGACAAAAGAATAGGGATGGGACCTGTACCAGTGGGAGGGAGCTGTGAAGGAGGAAAGGTTTCCACACACCAGGAAGGCCCTTCGCAGGCGGAGACTGCAGGTGGCGGAGCGGGGAGCTTCGGAGCCGCGGAGCAGAGCGCAGCAACAGGGGGGCGGAGGGCAAAGCGGAGAGATTCCCGCACAGAGGATCAGGGCCGACTGGCACTCACCAGCCCGAGAGGCTTGTCTGCTCACCCGCCGGGGCGGGCGGGGCTGGGAGCTGAGGTTCGGGCTTCAGAGGTCAGATCCCAGGGAGCGGACTGGGGTTGGCTGCGTGAACACAGCCTGAAGGGTGCTAGTGCGCCACAGCTAGCCGGGAGGGAGTCCGGGGAAAAGTCTGGACCTGCCTAAGAGGCAAGAGACCACTGTGTCGGGGTGCGCGAGGAGAGGGGATTCATAGCGCCACCAAAATGAGCTGCAGAGATGGGTGCGAGCCACGGCTATCAGCTTGGACCCCAGAGACAGGCATGAGACGCTAAGGCTGCTGCCGCCGCCGCCACCAAGAACCCTGTGTGCGAGCACAGGTCACTGTCCCAACATCCACTCCGGGGAGCCTGTGCAGCCCGCCACTGCCAGGGTCCCGGGATCCAGGGACAACTTCCCCGGGAGAACACACCGCGTGCTTCAGGCTGTTGCAATTTCACGCTGGCCTCTGCCTCCGCAGGCTCTCCCCGCATTCCGTACACCTCCCTTCCCTAGGCCTGAGTGAGCCAGAGCCCCCTAATCAGCTGCTACTTAACCCCGTCCTGTCTGAATGAAGAACAGTTGCCCTCAGGTGACCTACATGCAGAGGCAGGGCCAAATCCAAAGCTGAACCTCAGGAGCTGTGCGAACAAAGAAGAAAAAGGGAGATCTCTCCCAGCAGCCTCAGGAGCAGTGGATTAAAGCTCCACAATCAACTTGATGTACCCTGCATCTGTGGCATACCTGAATAGACAACGAATCATCCCAAAACTGAGGCAGTGGACTTTGGGAGCAAAGAAATATATATATTTCTTTATTGATTTGGTTGCCCTCTTCCTTTACACACACATATATGTGTGTATATATATATATGTGTGTATATATATATATATATATACACATATATATATACATATATATATGTGTGTATCTGTGTTTATTTATATTTTCTCTTTTTGTGAGTGTGTATGTGTATGCTTCTTTGTGTGATTCTGTCTGTATAGCTTTGCTTTTACCATTTGTCCTAGGGTACTGTATGTCCGTTTTGTTTTTTATTTAAGTATAGTTTTTAGCACTTGTTATCATTGGTGGATTTGTTTTTTGGTTTGGTTGCTCTCTTCTTTCTTTCGTTTTATTCCTTTTTTTAATACTTTTAAATTTCTTAATAAATATTTTTTATTTTTATTTTAATAACTTTATTTTTCTCTTTCTTTCTTTCTCAGACGTGTGGCTGACACGTGGAGACGTCTTGGTGCTCCAACCAGGTGTCAGGCCTGTGCCTCTGAGGTGGGAGAGCCGAGTTCAGGACATGGGTCCACCGCAGACCTCCTGGCGCCACGTAATACGAATCAGCAAAACTTCTCCCAGAGATCTCCATCTCAATGCTAAGACCCAGCTCCACTCGACAACCAGTAAGCTACAGTGCTGGACACCCTATGTCAAACAACTAACAAGACAGGAACACAACCTCACCCATTAGCAGAGAGGCTGCCTAAAATCATAATAAGGTCACAGACACCCCAAAACACACCAGCAAATGCGGTCCTGCCCACCAGAAACACAAGATCCAGCCTCATCCACCAGAACACAGGCACTAGTCCCCTCCACCAGGAAGCCTACACCACAACCCACTGAACCAACCTTAGCCACTGGGGACAGACACCAAAAACAATGGGAACTACAAACCTGCAGTCTGAGAAAAGGAGACCCCAAACAGTAAGGTAAGCAAAATGAGAAGACAGAGAAACACACAGCAGATGGAGGAGCAAGGTAAAAACCCACCAGACCAAACTAATGAAGAGGATATAGGCAGTCTACCTGAAAAAGAATTCAGAGTAATGATAGTAAAGATGATCTAAAATCTT